AAACAAAATTAAAATTTATTAGATAATTATTAATTAAAAAATGTGACCACAAATTAAAAAAATTAAAATGGATAAATTTGTCAATGAAATTAAAAAATTTTAATTTGCTAGTGGTTTGGTACAAAAAGTTACATAAACTAGTTTTTTCAATTCGTTAGCGTTTTGGGCTCTAACCGCTATCCACTAGTGTCAAACCGCTAAATAAAAATTTTACCAAACACTTTATTTGTAGCGGTTTCGAAATATATAAATTTACCAAACATCTATATTTAGTGGTTTAGGTAAAACTGCTAACCATTACCCTAAAACCACTATACCAAACGGGTCCTAAATATAAATAATCATCTCATTATAAACATTGGAATGACTTTATAAAATTTGTCACTGCTTGATTAAATTTTAAGATTTAAGGTTTTTCTCATATTTATAATTCAAATATTTTTATATGAATTAATCTATTTAAAATTAATAATTATCAAAAATAATGCTTTAAAATGTGTTTTATGCTAACTTATTATTATAAAAATTTATAATTAGTAAAAATTTTCTAAAAAATATAAATGTATCACACAAAACGTGAATTGAGGTTTAATATAAATAATAATTTTTTTAATATTTACAGTCAAAGTGTTTTAGTTTTACCTTTTGGCATTTTAAAACTATAATATCATTGTAAATATTATATTAGCTAACAATTTTAACTAAGTAATGCAACGCGCAACGTGATGACTGTAAAACTAAATACATACGCCAAAATATACATACATTTACATTCTAAATCATGCCGAAATAAACTGCACCAATATCAACAGATATGACCAAAATGACCATATGGTGAGCCTACTAAAACATGCAAAGAGACCAACAAAATGCAGTATCAGAAAAAATGTGCTGAGAAAAAAAAATTTACATATATCTTATTACAAAAGTTTAAAACCTTCGGCTTGATTCCAAAATCAAAATTTTTAAGTTTGAGATATTAATTTTTAGTTTGGTCAATTATGGAAATATAATTAACCTCATGCTTGTGCTTGTTTTTGGTGTATTGATTCAGTTCTTGTTTCATTATTTCAGGAACTTGCCTAATGGATCTTGCAGGGCCAATCATTGAAATGCTGAATTGCCTAATGCCTCCAGTATGCAGGCATTTGGAACATCATAGAAACCTTCAACAAAATATGGAAGAAATAAGGAGGAGATTGGGAGATCTAAACAGCCTAAAGGAAGATATAGAATCAAGAAAACAGACTGCAGAGTCTAGCTCAACAAAAGCAGTGAGAAGAGAAGTGGAGCGCTGGCTTGTGAATGTACAAACCATCAACAATGAAATTCAAATTGTTGAACAAAAGTTTCAAAATGTTTCTTGCCTCTGTCGTGGCTCCCTTGGAAAACATGTTCAGAAGAAGATTGAAGAAGTAAATAAACTTCTTCAAGTAGGAAGCTTCCCTGAAGACATTGTCATTGATAAACCTCCAGGCAGTGGAATGACATTGCCAACAGAGGATGCAAAAGGTCGATCCAATGTGAAGGAACAAATCAGGGAATACTTGATGGGTAATGATGTTGGAATAATTGGAGTTTGGGGTCCTGGAGGAATTGGGAAAACAACTGTTATGAAGAACATCCACAACGACTTGTTAAATGAGTCAAAGTTTAATAAAGTGATTTGGGCCACTGTACCATATCCAGTCAGTGTTGTTAATTTGCAAGATAACATTGCTAGTAACATTAAAGATAAACTTCCAGAAAATGTGACTGAGGAGCAGCGTGCAGCTACATTATCAGACATTTTGAGCAGAGTGAGATTTGTCTTGATTTTGGATGATGCCTGGGGAACGTTTTCTTTTGAGGATGTTGGAATCCCTAAACCAACACAGCAAAATGGGTGCAAAGTAGTTGTTACAAGCAGATCGGTTGAGCTGTGCAATTATATTGGTTGTGAGCAAGTTATTAGGATGCAACAACTTCCAGAGCAAGAATCTTGGAACTTATTCCTGGATACGGTGGGACATGATGTCCTAAAAATTCCTAATTTAGAAGAAACTGTGAAGCTTGTGGTGGCAGAGTGTGCAGGTTTACCTCTAGCTATCGTTGTAATAGCTAGGAGCATGAGGGGAGCAAATGACATTTCTGCATGGAAATATGCTCTGTTTGAATTAAAGAGCCGTGTAAAGAGGGTGAAAGGTTGGGATGATAAAATATTTGAACGGTTGAAATTTAGTTATGACCGTTTGAATGATGCAGAACTTCAGAATTGTTTCCTTCATTGTTCCCTGTATCCTAAAGATGGGACCATTTGGAGGTCTGATTTAATAGAAGGTTGGATTGACAATGCGCTGATTGAACAATTAGAGACTAGAAAATTGATGCGTGACAGGGCCAATGTTATTTTAGATAGTCTCATAAATAAATGCTTGATAGAGAGAGTGGAGCATTACTCAGATTATGGTATGAGGATGCATGATGTGATGAGAGATATGGCATTGCAAGTTGCTGGCCCTAGATTTATGGCAAAAGCTGGTTTGCAGCTAACAGAGGCACCAGAAGCAAATGAATGGACGGAAGACCTTGAGAAAGTTTGGCTCAGAGCAAATAGAATAACAGATTTTGCTTCTAGTATGTCTCTAAACTGTCCAAAACTCTCAGGCTTGGACTTGTCGTGGAACTATTATTTGAGGCAGATTCCAGATTCCTTTTTTGTGCACATGATTGGCCTCAAGTTTCTAACTCTCTCTTGGACTGCTATTGAAGCTTTACCTGATTCCATTTCCATCTTAGAAAATCTCACTGTATTACGGCTTAATTATTGTCAGGAATTAAGATACATGCCTCCATTAGTAAAGTTGAAGGCATTGAAGAAGTTGGATCTAAATGGGGCAGGGATTGTGGAGTTCCCTCAAGGCATGGAAACGTTGGTGAATCTCCAACATCTTAATCTAAAGTGTCCATATCTGGAGGATCTACCAATGGAAATACTCTGTAACCTCACTCATCTCCAGTTTCTTGCAGTGGCTTTGAAACCTACTAGTTTTGTAATGAAAGCAGAGAAGGTGATTAGGCTGAAGGTGTCGGAGACTTTTATAGGTCAATTTGATGACCTACAAGTCTTTAACAATTTTGTAAAGTCTTTACATGGGGATCAAAAGTTCACTAGGTACTGGCTTAGGGTGGGATTTATAGATGATACGTTTGCTTTTGATGGGAGGATGACATTAGATGGATTTGAAATGGGAAGAGATTACTCTGAATTGCATTACTCTGAATTGCTCGCAGGTGTGGAGTGCACAAAGATTATTGCTTTAGGTGGTGTGGAAATTAGAAGAGATTATTCTGTATTGCTTCTAAATGATGTTCAACTTTTGAAGATTACAAGGTGCAGTGATGTGAAAATCTTAAGTGAGACTTCTTTGTTCAATACAGCAACAGATTTAAGATATTGTGAGATCGATGGTTGTGAAGGGTTAGAGTGCATACTTGACTTATTCTCATCATCCTCAGTCTGCAGCTCATTTGATAAGCTTGAAATTCTATGGCTCGATAATTTGCGTAACTTGCAAGTACTTGTGAAAGTGGAAGCTCAAGCAACATCGGCTCCCTCGACATCACGGGCACCAAGACCAACACCTTCTTCCATATTTTCCAACCTTAAATTTTTTAAAATAAGAAGCTGTCCAAGAATCAAGAAGCTGTTTCCATTTGAGCTGCTGAAAGGTCTCCAAAACTTGGAGGAGATTGATGTTGAAGATTGCCAAAGAGTGGAGGAAATAATAGAAGCGGAAGACGAGAAAAAAACTATCACAACAGTGGGAAACAATGAAACCATCAGATTAGGTCTTCCGAAATTAAGAAAGTTGAGTTTAAAGCAATTACCAAAATTGAAGAGCATCTGTACTACAAGAGGAGTAATGGTTTGTGATTCTCTTCAAAGTATTGAAATATATGGCTGTCCTATGCTAAATAGGATCCCTTTATATCTGTCCCTGCTTCCCAACGGTGAGCTCTCTCTGCCTTCTTCACTTCAAGAAATCTGCATAGAGTCTGAAGAATGGTGGGAATCGCTGTTATGGTACAATCCTTCTGCTAAGGATATCTTCCTTCCCTTCTTGAAGCTTTGTGAACATCGTGACTTCCTTCGCAAGGAATTTCATGACCTAGAAGACTTCAACAATTATGTCGAGTCTTTTCAAGGTCAAAAGCTTACTAGCTATGAGCTTAGTGTGGAAGCAACTGAGCTTAGTGTGGAAGCAACTGATGACGATGACAACGTGGATCTTTCTGTTGCTGATTTTGACTCTTATTTTTATACCGATGGTGATGATTGCTCTAAGGCGTTAATTTTGGGGGGAATGGAAATTAATGATGATTATCCCGTACTGCTTCCTGATGACCTTCAGCTTTTGATCATTAAGCGCTGCGGCTTGAAAAGCTTAAACGATGCTTTTGCATTTAAAGCATTAACAGACTTAAGATCATGTACATTGTGTACAACAACACAGCCTTCCATCTTTTCCAATCTTAAGAATCTGTCAATATACAAATGTCCAAGAATCAAGAAGTTGTTTACATCTGAGTTGTTGAAGGGTCTCCAGAACTTGAAGAGTATTTATGTTACTGGCTGCGCAAAAATGGAGGAAATAATAGAAGTGGAAGAAGAGAAAGAAACTCTCGTGACAGATGGAGAAAATGAAACAATTACTTTCATTCTTCCCAAATTAAGGAAATTACTATTGGAGGGCTTACCAAAACTGAAGAGCATCTGTACTGCAAGAGGACTAATGGTGTGTGATTCTCTAGAAATAATTGGCATGGTTGAATGTCCAAAGCTAAAGAGGATCCCTCTATACCTGCCCCTGCTTCCCGATGGAGAGGTCTGTTCTCCTCCTTCACTCAGAAAAATCTGCACAAAGTCAAAAGAATGGTGGGAATCACTGGTGTGGGACAACCCTTCCACTAAGGGTATCCTCCTTCCATTCCTAAATATAAAAGAGGATTGGCCTTCCACGTTAGAGCAATTAACAGACGCTTCTGAAACTGAAGATGAATAATCTAGCCTCCACAAGTAAGTTTGCTTAGCGCAAATCATCTTTAGCTAACTTCTTAACTAGTTAGTCAGCTTGATTTGCCTCATCTGCTACCTATTTCCAAGTGCTACTCCTTGGCTATTGATCTTTTGTTTCCTTTTATATCACATACACATAAATCATAGAAGACTTAAAATCAAAGGGATCATGTCATGGATGTTGATGTAATTAATTGCTTTTATAACCTTGCGATTCTTGTAGGAGTTCTTACATTGTGGAAGCAAAATTTCTTGAGTAGAGGAGCAGAGCAAAAGCAAATGGGATTCGTCTCATGTGGTTTGAATTGTGATGATATTGTTATCTTCATTTCATCTGACATTAGCCCACTTGAACTTCGATTAATGCTTGTTTTCTTGTATAATCAGTACTTTGTTGATGTTGCCCTAGCAATGTCCATTCAAATGATTTCTATTGATGACAGTTTGCTTGATGAGTAACTCTGTTAAAGACAGCTTAATTTCTTGTATCGTGTTGTGTAATGAACAATGACACTGTTCTTGCTTCAATTTCATTAACTATCTTGCTGTCTTGAAATATATATTGGCATTGAAGTATGATATACAATGAGATATGGAACTCGATGAAATGGTTGTTTCTTTATGACAGATTCCAATTTCCAGACTGCAGGCAACAGGCAGTGTTTGTGTATAAATCTGTTCAAAATATACTAAGTGTTCTATGAAACGGTACAAGTAAATATTGCCATTAAAATATGAAAGAGAAGCGGTGGCATGATCTGGGTACGTTTTGCCATTTGTAAAAGATGATATTCATCAAATGGCCAAACAGTGCAAATTACCTCTAAATTGTTGCGTTGAGATAAATTATCACTCAAAAAATATGTTGATACAATTTGTTACTTTAAATTTCTATTTTTAATAAACGCACATTAAATTAATGGTAAAAATATATAACACATGTTAAAAAGATCTTAAAAAAATTATTAAATTTAGAATTAAAAAAAATTATTTAACTTGTGTCTTGTACCAAAAGTATAAGAAATATATATTTTTTAAATTAATGTACATAAAAAATTCTAAAAATTAACAGGTATTTTAAGGATAATATCTAAATCTAACCCGAAAATAATATAAAAATAAATTTATCCATAAAATTTTTAACTTAAATAAAACACTTTAAACATTTAACCCTAGAGAACCAATAGCACTAATTACTGAAGAGGTGCATTCTCCTGTGGGCGGTTTTCATGTCAAAATGTTTAAATAAATAAATAAATAAATAAAGCACTTTAAAATTAATGTGACACATTTTATGACGTCATTAAAATATTAACGGGGAGCTAACTTTGACTTTTTGAAACACGTGGAACTTTTTTTGCTTGCTTGGATGTTGATGTGGATGTCTTCAACCCATTTTTTCCTACGTGGCACTTTCTCACCTTTTTTTTCTTCAACCCATCACGTGAGACTCATTAAAATCTCAAAAACACCTGTTAAAATTTGTTATCTTCCCTATTTTGCCCTCCACTTCAGACTCCCATCAGCAATATTAATTGACGTGTCATGGCCAATAGGTCCACCAAAACATAAAAAATTCAAAAAACACCATTTTAAATTTACAAAACGTGCCACTGAACATAGGGACATACAAAAATCATGCCCTGCAAGCCCTGAAAACTCAATTTCGACCTACCCAGCACCTTAAAAGCTGAGAACATAAGAACATATATCATCCCCTTAGAAGCTCGATCAAACCTCAAAATTGTAAAATCCACCATTCTAGAACCATGGGTATGGCTTCTATTCTTCTATTTTGTAATTATCTTGTTTTATTTACTAGAGAAGGCACTATGCGTTGAGGAAGGAGAGAAGAAAGGAG